TTAATTAAGAATAATAATAATAATAATAATAATAATAATAATCTTTGAGTACTCTCGGTACTATGCCTAATGTGTAAACACGACTGGCTGTACTGTCGTTCCTGTGTAACCCAATGTACGTATGTCTAAGGAAAAAATTCGCGTGCTCTTGTGTTGCAGAAAGGATAAGCATCCGAAACAGCCGCAAGCGACGCACGAGCGAGGGTTCGACGTGCGACAAGAGCGAGCCCGCGGAGCCGGTGCTCCCGCAGTCGCCGCAAGAGGACCGCGAGAACAAGGGCCCCCAGTTGGGCAAGCCGAGCAACAACAACCGTACCCCCCGCACCGCCGTCCTCGAGGAGGCGAATTTGTCACCGGCGAGCCCCATCGCGGCGACTAAGCTCCGCCAACGGCGCGTACCCGGTCTCAAGCCGACTAGCAGCACCCACCGCCCGGTAGCCGCCGACCAACAGCGCCCGGTACGCAGAAAGACCCGCCTGCAGCAGGAGGCCAAACTCGTTGACGAGAGGCCACCCTCCAGGAGGGAGCGACAATCACTGCTCAGGCCCGCCAAGGAGCCCAACACCCAAGACAAAGCCCAGCAGCAGAAAAAGCTAAAAGAACAGGAGGAAGAAGAAGAGGAGGAGGAGGAGGAGGAGGAACCCGTGAGGGAGGACAGCAAGTCAAGGCAGGACTCGTTGATCAAGCGGCTGAGGTCGAGTCTCCTGGCCGACAAGCGCCGAGCCGAGCGCAAGCCCAAGGAAGCCGGGGACGACCAGCCGAAGCTCGAGCCCAAAGAGGACGGCGACGAGGGCGCCAAGGACCAGAGTCCTGAATCCGCACTTTTGCTCGGTGAGAGTGAGCTCTGCAAGGACGAGGAAAAGCAGAGCTGCTCGGGAGTCGTGAAGCTCGAGGAAGTAGCCAGGGTGGATGGCAAGGACACGGCCAGCGATGCCCTGCCCAATGGCCAGCAGCGCCCAAAGTCCGAAGAAGATTGTCTCGGCGAGGGACCAACGGAAGCCCCGACGGTGCGAGGAGCATTTCTGTCCAATGGTGACGGCAATGGCTGCGGCGACACCGCCTCCCCGCAACTGTTGAAAGTCGAGGTCAAGGAGGAGGAGGAGGAGGAGGAGGAGGGAGGAGGGGAGAAAAAGAGGCCTACCAGCCGGAGCTCATTAGAAACGGAAAAGGTCCGTCCGAGTGTGGACGGTAGACCGAGCGCCCTGAGCACCGGCGACCGCGGCCTGCTCCTCGAGCAGGAGCAGGAGCGAAGTCGCCACAACGAGAGTCCCGTCATCCTCGTCGAGCGGCTCAACCACAACAATCCCCGCCCGGCGTTGCCCCAATCCTCCCAGCACCATCACCAGCGTTATCAGCAGCCAGCCCCGCCCCAGGTTGGAGCTGCCACCACCGTCGCTGGCTATCGTCCCTCCCAAGCTCTGTTGCACCGCTACCAGGTCGAGCACCAGCTGCACTATCCGCACGGTAGCCCCCACCTACTGGAAGCCCAGCAGCATCACAACCAACAATCGGGGCGAAGCGGCGGGAGCGATGAGGTCGGCATGGAGGTCGTGGAGCCCCGCGAGGCCGGAAGAGCCAGCGGTTGCTCCACACCGGGTGTCCACGCGACGAGTGGGGTTCCGGTGTCTCAAGCCGGTGGAGGTAGTTGCAGCAGCAGCAGTAGCAGTAGCAGCAGCAGCAGCAGCAGCAGCAGCAGCAGTAGCAGCAGCAGCAGCAGTAGTAACGGCAACGGCGGCATCAGGCCCACCAGTTACGGTGACAGTGGGAGCGACAGCGGGGTCGGCTCGTTGAGGGGCGCGAGCTCCGGGGACGAGCGCAGTGGTAGCCGAAGCTCGGCTTTGAGCGCGGAGGAGGTCAGCGCGACGCCCAATTCCCAAGTGCCGAGTGGTGGCAAGCCCACGGCTACCCCGGCCCACGTCTGGCACGTGCAGAGCGTCCAGCACACCTCGTTACTCATGGCTCACCCATCGCAGGCGCCCGTCGCCGTGCCACCTGGGCCACCGGCCTCGGCCTCGGCGGCAGCGGTCGCGGCGGCGGCTTACCAGAGCGGAGCTAGCCCCGGGCCGCCGCATCATCACCCGGGACTGGCCCAAGAGATGCTGTGGAGGCAATCGAGGTACCACATACCCCTGCCGCCCGTCATGAACGAGGTTCTCGCCGAAAGGGACAGGCACGAGAGGATACTCAGGTAAGTGTCGACTCATTCTGGTTTTCCTTCTTTTTTATTCTACCTCGTCGCCATACTAGCCTCGTAACCTATTTATGTTTACTATACGTGCTTACCATCCACAACAATATTATTGTTTTTTTTTTTTTTTTTTTCTTTATGTACGATTACAATTTATATTGATCCATCTCAGGCGAAAAAATATGAATCAAAGGATATTATTAATGTGCAAACGTAGATTCTTTAAACCTTTAAATTCGAAAAAGCAAGCGTAGGGAGAATAAATTGTAGATAGAATGGATACGTATCATTTAATACGCAACTTGGTTGACCATGGCAGTAAATATCTTTTTTTTTTTTTTTTTAAATAACAGTCGCGTGTGTAATCATCAACACATCAGTCACATCTCGAAATCTTAATGATTGACTTTAAGATAAACTGCATAGACCCTAGATATAGTACACCCAAGGTCGAAAGATTAAACATTAAGATTATTATGAAATCTAAAAACTTTGTGTACCGAGTGATTTTACGTTAAAAATTGTCTCAGAATGAGTTCGTGATATAACACATTTAACTGTGGGATACCAATTAAATTTTGAATATTAGCTGGGCACCTGCATATTTGCAGTATAAAAAATTTTATAGTTATTTTTACCATCCACAACATTTGTAGCAACATCTACACTAAGTTCAGATAGATCGAGAAATGACAAACAACTGATATCACAGTTGAGATTAAGAAAAGCAAACGGATGTGAAATGGTACGAAGCTTGAATTGCCGTCATTATGCACTTGATTAATTACGTACCGTATAGATTACTCAACTGTATCAAGACGGCAACTAATTATGCAACTTGAAACATTTGAATCAATAAAAATGTAAACACGTTTTTTCTCGAATATCAATATGTTATTAGCTCAAGTATGTGTCACCCATTTTTTTTTTTTTTTTTTTTTGTTGCTTTCATCATTGATTATATTTTTGACGAGGAAAAGAATCTCACTCGAAAACAGTGTGTTTTTTGCTCAACTCACACATTTTGCAAAAGCGATAAATAAGAATGAAAAATCATTCTCGTTTTCGATAAAATCATCAACATATCCGAGTATTTCTTTGGGAGGGGGGGGGGGGAGAAGTGGGCGCGCCAGTCTGGCATAAATAATAAAACGGGATTACGCAAGGCCGAGAGAAGGGTCACTTTTTGTTGTTCAATACGCCAACAGTCGAGCGCCGATTTATACGTCCGAAGGTCACTCCTGTAACGAATAACACCTCTCTTGATGTACCCGACCATGCGACGTAATACGGTAATCTAATGCCTACGTCTTTCTTCTCTAGAAATCGGCTTAATAACTCGGGAGCGAAGAAACAAAAGAAAAGAAAAAAAATCAACGTATACATAGATACCTGTATGATGATCTCCGTAGTCCGTGTTTCCACATTACTATACCACGAAACAATGGCGTGATGGATTCAAATGGCTTGTTCCTTTCCTCCTCCGTTACACAGGTGGGAAGGCTTTCTTTTCACGTATTGTACAGATATTCGCGGTGCCCCTTTTCTGCGCCTATTGCTATGTTCCGGAAATAATGTATGGGCGAATATAATGGATCATTGAAAGCAGTCTGTGTTTCGGAGAATCGCCAATGATTGAAAAGTATTATTTATTACACACATTTACGCAGGAGTTAAGTAGTGATACAGGAAGTGGTGGTGGTTCTCCTTTTACAACGTCACCGATTTATTCGCAAAAAAATCTTGCCTAGTACAAAAGATTCCCTCGGGTGTACTCGTATTCTACTCACGCAATATTTAGCTTTGATTCCTCATACAACAAGTATAACTTGAACTGTTTACTTACTACGATGCCAGGGTTTTTTTTAAATCAAATATTTCCAGAATTCTTTTTCAATTCATTTGTTAATTTTTACTATTATTTAAATTAAATTACGAATGTGAGGTTGTAGGAAGACTAAAAGATTTGGCTTCAATGAATAGTACAGCAAAACTGCAGTGAACTAAAAACAAAAAAACAAAAATCGTACATGATTCGTCTTTGCACTTTTTCTTCGCCGGTTCGTCCATTCGTTTGTATTGTTCTGCATCATTGGTGCACAAAGCACGTCTTCCTTTTGCTGTTCTGTACATGTGTCTACATTAAAATTCATACGTGTTTCTATGTTCACGCCAGGTCGTGCACACATTTGTACATGGAATACAGAGAGAGAGAGACGGTGGGGCGAATGCAAGCTCAAGTGGGAAAAAAAAGAAAAAGAATCGAGGTGTATAGGTAAGCAGCGTTTTTTTTTTTTTTACTCTGTCGTGAGTCACTTTTCGGGTAAATAGGAGTGGAGAGCACGAAAATACCCCCGGCAAGACCTAATGGCAAGTCAACCTTCTTTTTTTTGTTTCTTAATCTTATCTTTTTTTTTATTATTTAAATCACCAACGCTGCAAAAAATAGGTATGATACGAGTTCATTTATAAATAAACATACATCGACCGAGCGAATGGCATAGGTATGGTTGTTTTTCTCACAGCAGTGAAACTTTGTTTACATCATGTGCCGTTTAGTTTTTAGTTCATACATCGTCAAATATTTGCCATCTCTAATAGATTCAGCGAAACATCCACGAGTTGCATTAACGAGATCTATTTTCACTGCCAATTTAGTCAAATTTGTCGATTTGTAGTGATAAAATTTCAGCTCATCCAATCGATAGCTATATTCACTGCAAATCGATAAATGTGATCGACTGATTCAGTTTAAGCAATTACATTTTTGTGGTCTCCAATGGTCGTGCGACTCGCATTACTTTCCATCTACTTTTATTCCACTGGTGCAGCATCAAGTAGTGATTAAGCATGAAAAAATGACCTATACTTAAAAGGTGCTCGAAAGTTGTAGGCAGGCATGGTATAACAATACAACTGGCATTGTTTGTGTTTGCCGATTTAACTACAATCGAGGGAGCAGTTTCATCTCGATGACCCGTACTTGTCCCCCCCACCGTATATTACGTTTGTCAAAGGGTTCGTAAACCACGTGCCACGAGGGATAAACTCTTCCAGAAAACTACGTCCAACAATGACATGTTATACGACTAGCCGGCACGCCCGTAAATTCGATGCCAAACTATTTCTCAAGCAGTACGCTCGGCTCCTGCGCTAATTTTTATTGGTATAACTGTTGTTGGGTTAAAGAGACAAAAAAAAGTGTAAAAACAGAAATACTCCTCGAACCGAGTGAAACGTTTGACTCAGAAAGTTCTTCAATCTCATTTTCTGGCACTAGAGTCCTAAAGCTGCTTTTCAAAACAAATTTTTCAAGACAGCGCTTTCTCACTAAAAAATTTCAAACGGCGATAGTGGTTCTTTCCTCGATATCTCGATGTGTGAGTGATGCCAAATATCGCCCATCGAGCTACCTTTTAGAGGTATTCTTATTTATATGGTATGTATCCACAGTGCAGGGGGTAAATCAATTGTTTGTACTTGTTTTTGAAACTTACCGAGAAATTTACACCAAATTTATTCTCTCCATAACGTAGATGTGATCGACTCTTCCCAAGATATTCTCCTTGTTTGTTTTTATCTGATCTGATATAAAGCAACACACGTAACTCTTCTATCTATAAAATGTTATTGAGCATACAGGTCTTCAAACAGTTGACGTTTCTCACGCCAATACTATTTTGGTAGCAAATAAGAATTCATTGGTGATAAAAAAATATGTAAAAGAAATTCATTTGTATTGAGGATACATTTTCTCGTTGCCCAAGTAATGACACTATTATGCAAAAATTAATGAGTATGAGTATTAGTAGGACAAAGCAGAAAGAAAAACTGAAATAAAAAATTTTAACGAACATCGTTCAATCGAATAAATTAAAGTGCGACGAAAAATTTCAGACTGTAATGTTTCATAAAACAGTTTCCAGAGGTAATTTATAAAAATTGCGATTCACCCTAAAGACGATGCTCGCCTGTGATATTCTCTTTCAAGCCATTAACAACGTACACGTCCGCCTTTTCGACTATATCTTTCAATTCTTTTCACCACCACATCTACAGCAAGCTTTTTCTTGCTTATTCACCGCATGACCCAATCCGAAATTTCGCGGGAGATCACACGAGTTCCCAAAGTTTCCTCCGATTTTCCAGCGAAAACCAATAAACAAGTCTCGATAATGCGGCACGCCAAACGTGACCAAAGGTTCAATACCTAGCCAAAATTTTGCAAATGCCTCACGCGGCTTGGTGCATCAGTGGCATGTATACATACACATGTACACACGTAGCAAGTACTCATGTATAGTCCCCTCGTTGGCCGACCCCTCGTTATTATCTTCCGAGCTCTC